GGCGATGAGCTAAAGCGCTTGCTGGGGGCCCCTTGGATCTACAACAGAAAGTTGCGATCTCCACCCGACTTGGAAAGGGGAGGCCGGAAGCTCTGCTTGACGAGGGCTGTCCATTGACTTACTATCCTGGCTCGTGCATGCAGGCACATGATTGCACATCGTCATGGTCGTCTTGATTGGGACCCGCAGCCGCCGAAAGATTTCGAGGCTGTAGCATGTGATGCTGAAGCACCACCTGCTCTTTAAGTCCTTCGGTTTCTCCTATGATATCCTGCTATTGCAGGGCTTTGGTAGCCTCCGTGGGCAGCAGTTCTCCTGCTAGCCCATAGGCCGTTTCCACATGGATTTCGAGCTAACGCCCAACGAACCCAAAGTTGAACAGTACGAGGCAGAAGTTTTGAAGCGATTTCGCTACCACATGCTCGACTCCAAATTCCGAAGTTCTGAGCCTGAGGTCTTGGATTCATAGAAGCCCCCGCTTCTTCCCGCCCTGCTCCTTTCGCTGCTGTGATGCCCCAGCCACACACTCCTTGCCCGCTGCATGCCCCGCGTCATGCCACGGACCCAAACCCACACACCTTGCCGCACCGCAGCACACCGCACAACGGAGCACAGACACGAACAGGCTCGCACACACGCTCAGAGACAGAGCGGGAGAAAGAGACACACACACACACAGAGGTACACCAAGACACACACACACACACACGCGCACAGACTCGCACAAGCACCCTGTACAAGCAGGAGCCTCGTCCACGTCGCTCGCGCGTGGCTGCCAAATCCCAGCCCGTGGCCTTGCCTCCATCAGTATGGGCTTTGCGGACGAGGCTTTGCACTTCATAGCCTTTACGGTAGAGGTTTCCGGGCTTCGGAATAGAATCATGGGCTGATGCTTACATTGTGGAATTTTGGGTTTGCACTTACCGCCCCGCCTGCGTACCGCAACCTCTTACGCCGGAGCTCATGCGAGAACGACATCTCATTTCAGTGGGGCTCAAGCCGCACCCAAGGCTTGGCAGGACCTCATTGGCCTCAACCAGCCAGCAAAGCGCCGACGCCGCGAGGAGGATTGTTCCCAAGTCTCACTACATAAATCCTACTGGCACCGTATCGGTCCAAGTACCATATGCTTAGGCCAAACAAGGCATGCTGTCAGGCTTTTGGGGGCTCCGATTTCTGCGGTCCGATGGTTCGAGCCGTGTACTCCACTGTCGAGGCTTGTTTCGGGTTGATAATGGTTGTTTAGAGCCTCTTCGTAATCTGGACCCCTGATGCGTAAACCCCCTTCCCGTTGATGGAGACTCTAGGAAGTGGGACCTGTCTTAAGGCCCTTAAAGAAGGGAAGTTGCTTAATCAGCGGTCTCCAGTGTGTGGGTTGTTCCGACCTAGTCTTCGACAGGAATTCCTCAAGTCATCCCCAAACCCTGCGAGAGTGAGAGACGAAACCCTTGAAGGAGCCCTGATGGGTCCTTAGAGGCATGAGGCCTCACCAGTTCGTAAACGTCTGGGCCTCTGGCCACAGAGAAGAACGTTCTAACATGAAGGTCATACAGGACCCTGAAATTTTTGATTACTGTAGAATTATTCCCTGGAGGTCTCTTAATGCTCTTCTATAATAGTTTCATCATTCACAGCCCCTGGGCTTCAGGACGTTTGCTTCGGAGTGTTGGGGTTTTCTGCGCCCCTACCTAAACCCTAAACCCTAAACCCTAAACCCTAAACCCTAAACCCTAAACCCTAAACCCTAAACCCTAAACCCTAAACCCTAAACCCTAGCCTGGAGACAGGAAGCGAAGCCGGACCGGCTCGCGTGCAACGGCACCGGTGGAGCTCCTCCGGCTTCCTGTATGCAACGGAGATCCGGAGAGACCAATAGGGGTTTAGGGTTTAGGGTTTAGGGTTTAGGGAATACACCTTAAATGAGGCATCTAATCTATCCGATATCCCTGAAATATCCTTGGAGGGTTTAGCTTTACGTGTTTGGGGTCCTAGAAGTATCGGTTGCATCTGTTCTTCATTCCAAAGCTATTCCAAAGCCCCCTCCTAGCCCAAAACCTTAATCCCCAAACGCTGATCCTGTCTATCTCAATCCTGATGTTCAATCCCTTCTCTTGGACAGGCTGCCGGAAGTTGCGAGGCCGTGGGGTCACAAATGTGGGAAGGTCTAGCAGCCTTACGCTACTGCGTGGGGTGATTGTCTTAACCATATCAGCAGTTCATACTTGAACATCAACTTTTTTGTAAGTAGGAAAGGAGTAGAGCTACACGAGCAATTTTAACCAGATCAGTACGATGATGCAAGCAGCACCCTAAAGGGTCTGACCTGGTCAAGAAGCCAAGGAAGAGATCGATGCTTCAATACTTCGGGTCTTTTCTTCGGGGTCTTCGGTTGCTTTGGCCCATGTCAGAAGGAAACTTTGGGCCAGAGTGATGCTCTTGGGGTTGAGGTTCCGCTTGAGGAAGCCATGGCGGCATAGTGGGGGTATTTGGCACAAGCCATTCTTACGAGAGCAATGTAGGTCTTATTTAGCTGGCCGCCTAAAGCTACGGTATGTAGTCGTGGTCGCGGTCGCCTTCCCGTCTAAATGTGCGGACCTGAAGTCGGTGCTGTAGTTGCTTTGCAACATGCCACCACCCAGAACTTATTCAACGGAGTCTACGAAGACAGTTAGGAGCCAAGAAAAACCCAGACATTGTCCTACCACTCTCTACTCTATTGCTCTCTCTCTCTCTCTCGTCCTCTCTCGGTCCATCTCTCCCTACGTGTGTGTATACCTACAGATAAAAATACATATTCACATACACATAACAAGGCAAGGTAAATACTCGGAAAAAGTTCATTAAGACGTATAGATACACAGACGTGTGTGTGTGTGTGTGGGAATGTGTTGTCTGTCTGTCTGTCTGTCTGTCTGTCTGTCTGTCTGTCTGTCTGTCTGTCTGTCTGTCTGTCTGTCTGTTTGTCTGTATGTATGTATGTATGTATGTATGTACGTATGCATGT